CAATTTACGATAAAACATTGTATATGGACTTAATTTAATATGTTTTTTATCATTATTTTCAACAATTCCATCTGATTTACTTCGATTTATTGTCAATTTATTCTAAACAACAACATCGTCTGTTTTTTTTTCTTTTTATCCTATTAATTCCTATGATTTATTTTCATTATGAAAGTTAATTCAAATGATAAATTAAAAAATTTTTGTTTTCTAAAAATGTCTTTGGTTTATTCTATAATAATATTTGTTTGAATAAAAATAAAAATCTTCGACAAGATATTTTCATTCGTTTTTTCTTTTTTGTTAATTCGATTTTGAAAATTTTTGAGAAAAAAAAATATATTCATTGAATATTGATAAAATCAATTAAACGAATTCAATATCAGAAGATAATCTTATTTATTGAAAATTTTCATTCAAAACAAAAACTTTTTCAACAAATCGATTTTAATCAAATTCAATCCACTTTTTTTTCTTAAATTAAATTCCAAGGGGTTCTACGTCTAAAAATAAAGATTGACACTATAGAGAATTATCATCATTTTTCTCTAATATCCTCTATAAAAAGTGTGCTCTAGAAAGAAAAACAAGTGTTCGCTGTAGACAGGCTTTAAAATGGTTATTATTTATCGAATTATTTTCATTGTTTGGCAAGCTTTTAGAAAAGATCGACGACAATTATCATATTTCATAGAATTTCAAATGAGTTTATTTTCGTCAAGCTCGATTATGAAAAAGAAATAAATTCTTTTTAAATCGATGATATATATTATCAAATGTTTTCTCATTGTTTTTTCATGATAAATATAGAAAAAAAGAAAAATAAAATATTCTAAGGGATCAATTTTTCTTGTTACTAGATCGGACTAAATATTTCATGGTTTTTAAATATTTATGAACAAAATTCTTTGAAAATAAAAATTTTCGTTAATGAAAATTTGGAAATAATTTTTTTTTTCAATTAAAATAAATCATATTCATTGATATGTATAATATTGTATTAAATAAATCAAATAATAAATCTTACTGTTAATTGATCTGTTGTATTCGATTGAAATAATTTTCTTGATACATTTGTTTTATTTGATGATTGAATAAACATTGGAGTTAAATTATTTATTGTGTGATAAGAAATTATTTATATTTGATTGAATTGATGATATTTTTTTATATGATAAAATACCTTTTAATTCAATATCATTCTATAATGAGGATTTTGTTGAAAAAGTCATTGATGATAAATATTTAATAAATGATTTTGATTTACTTATTTGTATACAAGTTTTTAAAAAAAAATTTGTATGATTTTTAAAAAGAAATACTCATCTAATGAATAAACATGTAATATCCAATTAAAATCATGATATTTATCCGAATGAGCATATAATACTAATAATTATTTAATATTAATTTACTAAAATAAATCCATTTATTTATTTATTTATCCATTTAAAAGAAAACTCGTTTATTGAAATGATTGTTGAATTTGTTGTGAATTAAATTCATTTGAAATTAATCTGTTTTTTTTTTCCAATAGTTAAGATATTTTCAATAGAATAATAAAATAATTTTAATAATAAATCAAAACGTGATTTACATGATCGAGATGAATTTTCTTTTCGATTTATTTTATTAACATTTTCTATTAAATCATATTGACTATTAAATAAATATTCACATTCATTTAAACGTTCAACAAGATCATCTAAATTTTTCATAAACAAATTTTCTTTTTTTCTTTTTATCAAATCGAACATTATTTCTCTAACTGACACGTTTTTAAATAATATATTATATTAATTAACTAAATAACTCTAATTTTCATATTTCAAATATGAAAATCTAACTAATTACTATTAAAAAATGTTCGATAAAATAAAATCGTATATATGTATATCGAATATTATTTTAAGTTAAGGAGATGTTCAAAATAAAAAACTTATCATAAATCAATTCGATTCGATTTAAAATATTTTGAAATGAAAATAATATTTTAATCGAGAGAAAATATTTATTTTATTCAACGATTTGTTTCATAATAAAAGAAAACAAAAAATAATCTTAAAAAAGTCAAAATCTAAGTTATTTCTTTTTTTAAAAGTCTTTAGATAAAATTTTCAATCTTATATATAATTCAACGATCATTTTAAATAAATGTCAATATCATACAGATATTTAATTCAATATATTCTCATTTAACGAGGAAACATCTTTAACCAGAAACAAAAATTCCTTTCTTAATTTAATTATTTTTCTTTATCAAAAAAGTATACTTAAAAAAACAAAAAGAATGTCTGATATAAATATAAATTAGTATTTATTTGTTTAAGTTAATAAAAGAAAAAAGATAGTGATGATAATTGTCTCTGTCTAAAATATAAATTTGAGAATATTTTTTATTAGTTGAAATAATAAAAATCTAAAATTGATTAATTGAAAAATCTTTTAACGAGTTCATTTATTTATCTCTGATTATCAATCGTCACGAAAATTATCTATCGGATTTATCTCTTGATTTCTAATAGAATTTTTTTTCTCTTGTAAGTCTCTTGTTCATTTTAATGCAAACTATTTATTTGATTTACATCTAATTCCAATCTATAATATCAATTCTATATCGATCAACTCTCAACACACAATTATTATTAAAATATAGTTCAAATCTGATTGTTAATCAGGTTTATTGTCTCTTTCCTATACAAATCAATATGAGTAAAACAAATCTGACGGTTCTCTTATCATAGATTCTAACGTAACATTTAGCTAAGTACTGTTCTCTGTCTATTACCGAAAGTAAACTAATCATAGTTGACTTCTAGCTAGTCGCTGCTACACTGATCAAAAAAGGTGGCATTAACAAATTGAAATAGGTTTCGAATTAGTTTCAATTGTCGAAAGGCTTTTTATTTTCAATGCATGAACGGGGAAAAACGCAAAAGATAAAGTTAAAAGTTCGATTAAGAAAATCTTATGATGAACAAGCCACGATGAAGGTTTGAGAAAGAAAAACAAATTTATTTTATGTTCGATTTGATAAAAAAAGAAAAAAAAAAAAAATTTAATCTAAAAAAGTTTGTTGTTGTTGAACAATTGAATATAATAATTTAATTAATTGATTAGCTTGATATATGGATGTTAAATATTGATTAAAAGAAATTGTTTGATAATCATTCGATGTAATATGTTGATTTGTTGTTAATGGTGTTAGATTTTGAGAAAATATTGAATATCGATTTTCATTTAATGAATTACATAAGTCATTTAATTGAAATTTATTTTCTAAAAAAATTCTTTCATCAATTATACAATTTGTTAAAACAATTTCATCATATTGACGATTTATATCACGAATTGTTTCCAAATAATTAAATTCATTAAAAAAAAAATCTTCTTTTTTTATCAAAACGTTTAAATAAATCATTTTTTAAATGTTGTTCGATTATTGATCGACACATATCCGATGAACAACAATACATCATACATAATTTATCGATTATGCTTCCATCATTTGAACATAAATCATTTAAACAACAACATTAACAAAAAAAAACAATACTTTTCTTTTCTTTTTTGTTTTATATCTTTTTATTCAATTTATTAGATTTAGTTTAATTAAATTATTTCGATTATTATATATTTATTCGTTTTGAATAAATAATTCAAATTAGTTTGATTTTGTTGACAACAAATATCGATTTCTAATATAATAAACAACTCGAACAATAGATATTCGATTTATGAAACTCTACAGTTAATCTATCATCTTTTTAACGAAACATTTTCCATAGTTTAATTAAGAAAAAGCAAGTAGAATAGATTAAATAACTCGTTTAATATGATGAAATATAATTTCTAATATAAATATAATTGATGAAAATTCTCAGAATATTTAATAGATATTTATATTTCTATCGTATATTAAGAATACATATTTATATATGAATATAATCATTATTTGTAAATCTTATTTATAATTATATTATTTATAAATGATTATTAATCGATTGTTCATAGTTATAACTATAATATCGTTTAAACGATTAAATTTTTAAACATGATTTGAAATAATCGTTAATCATATTCGATTATTTAGGTTTTTATCGATTAATAATCATATTGACAAGAAAATAGGTTTTTTTTCTAAGTTATCGATATATATATATTCGATAAAAAAATATTTGAAATGATTTTTATTTAATAATATATTGATAAATCTCGAAATAAAATGTTGAATTAAATTTAATTCTATATCGAACAATCGAAAATTGAATTTGTTTCAGATCTTATTTCAAAGACTTTTAAATAAAATAAACAAAAAAAAATCTCTTAAGAAATCTTCATTTGATAAGAAGTGAAAAAGAAAATTTTTAATTGTAAAAAACTAAAATAAAAAATGATATATATAAATAAAATCTTCTAATAGAATGTTACCTTTAAGTATATAATCTAATTTGGCTAATTTGACATAATCATAAATAAAAGAAAAAACTAGAAATAAGTAAATGAAATGAAGCAATAAGATCATTGATAGTTGATGGATAAATTGTTTTAGCTAATACATATATTGTTCATATAAGTGAATATAAATCTTGATGTGAACATTTATTTTATTTATTTTTTGTATTTAATTTAGGATTTACTTGATTTGATGTTCTTTCATATTGATAATCAGAATAAATTAATTTATATTGATTTCCACCAAATATTTCAATAAATATTTTTGTATATTTTTCAAATATAATTGATGATATATTAAAAACATGTTCAACACTTGATCGATTTCTTTATGTAATTTATCAAAAAAAAACAAATAATTCTAAATGATTAGCACTTTTTAATAAACGTAATATTGATATTGGATTATTCTGATTTGTTGTTAGATGTTTATATCTTCTACATGATACATATTATGAAATAGCTAACCAATGTAATTGATCACCTTCTAAAACATAATGTTTACGAATATGTTCATATGAATGTCATGCATCTAACTTTGTTTCCATATCCATATTTAAATCAAGACATGATTTTGAATATAACATTTCAATTGATTCATCATCTTTATTTGATATTTTCGCTTTTTTTTTATTCTAAAATAATCAAAAAAAAACAAAATGATTGACATTGGCTGTGGGTGTGAGTATTTTACTTACACCCAAGATAGAGACGAAATGTTTTTGTTTTGCTGATTCATAAAGGGTGCAACAAATATCCATGTTTCCATTCATTTACGCAAATTGAAAAAGAATCAGAAGGCCATCACTATCATCCTCATTATCATTAAAATGGACAAGAAAAATTTTAAACCATATGCTAGTGGCACATCGTCGTCTACGACAAGTAAGCCAAATAAGTCATCTACAGCTGCAGCACCAATGATAGTTGTGAGTAGAAGAGCTGGGTGTGGGTACGAGTGTCTTTTTTTGTTGAACATCCACATATACACCCTATTAGAGCTGTAACAGTATCAAGAAGCGATGAATATTTATGTGTCTATTCTTATCTACATAAAACTGTGCATTGGTATGAATAGAAAGTTTTTTTTTCGTAAAAGACTTTTTTTTTGTTTAATTTAGAAGAAGTCGATGACCATATAAAGGTCATACCTTCAATAATAAGTTGTTTCGTTGCAATAGGATTGTTATCAGTGACTATTATGATCACATCAACGATGAATTTCTTTCTTTATCACCATCTATCGTTGTTTGGCATCAAATAAAATCACTTAGTATTACACAACCATTCAATTCAACTTATTCTTTGTCTTTTTGCAAGCGACTAATCTACGTACTCTGGAACTGCATTATAGATCAGAATATGATACTAAACGTTATTTGAAAGAGGAAAATTTAATCTATCTATTCGATAATATTTCTTTGTGCAGAATGCTTATGTCAAATGGCTTACGATAACTCAATCTTTTTCCTGTTTTGTGACAACCAAATTTGGTAAACATTCCCTATTTAATTGTCGAGCGACTTCCTCATTTGCAAGTCATTGTTCTTACTATTAATGGCGAAGATGAATATGATCAACTTTATGAGAAACAATTGCATGATCTGCAAAGTTGAAATACTCATTCTTTATATACTTTTTGTATGATTATAATAAAATGAAACTGCTAATATTTCTTTATTTCTTTGTACTTAGACTTGTTTTTATGAAAGAATCATAAGAAGTTTTCAACATGAATAAAGCAAAACTTTTAAAATTTTGTTTCGTAAGTTAAATCAGATGAAAAGATCTTCTGTGTTTGATATTAAATTATACTAATATTCTTTATTAGTTGTACAATAGAATGTATACAAAAATTACTCCTACATGAAAACAATAACACTAATATTTGACCAAAAGATATTTTTTATTATTAATAATCAATTTATTTCCAGTTACATTTTGATACCAAACGCTATTTTAACTCCTCTTCTCTTTATCATCTTGTTCTATTTCCTTTCTCACATATAACTGACCGAAAATAAACAACTTGAAATGTATTCTATTTTTGAATATTCTTACAATAAATAATTATATTATTTCAAATTTATCCTTATATTAATATTTTAAAAGTTAAAACTTATTATAACATTTCATTGTTCAATAACAGTAACATATTTAAACTAGACCTCCACTCAAACTAAGCACGAGTAGAAAAGATGCCTGACTGCAGAATTTTCATAATTCTCATATATGTTCATAGTTATTTTTTAAAATCTAATTTATCTCTTATTAATAAATGAAGTTGGACATTGATTGATAACGAATATCAATTGCATATTCCTTTATTAGAACATTACTGTTCTTTGTATTTTGTATATATAGTAAATCATCGAGACTCTTTCATAGATAAAGTTAATTTATACAAAACGATAATCAACTTGTATATGCATATAAGATGCGAGATATCAATGGTCACTAAAATACTAAGTCATTTATAACTATATAAAGAAATTATCAGACGTTAATTACCATTTATTTTTGTTCTTGCATCTTCCACACGGAGTCAAAGAAGAATGAATTTCAGATGTGCCCTACGCACATTCTCACGAGTTTGATAAGCTTTTTTGTGGGATGTGGGTGAATCTCTTCTTTCTGACCTCATCCAAACTCACCCACATCAAAATCAGTTTTTTCAATGTAGAAACTCTCAGTTACAGCTGATAGCTTGATATAAGAAACCTTACAAGCATTGTCTCATTACCATTTTGATGTAGATAAACATATATGACAAGTTAATCTAAGAAGACAATGAATTTATAAACTGTTCATTGATTGAAATATATAATTTTGTAGAATGCATCAATCTAGTCCAATGTTATTTTCCTATCGTACTAATCTCCAATAACTAATTTCATCTTATATTTCATTGAGAAGAATTTTTTTCATAACAGCTTTATGTGTTTTTTTTTATCTGAATAGATTTAATACAAAATTTATCGTTTCAATGGAATAATATTCATCATATTAGATGATTATGATTTTAATTTTGTAACATTCTTTATATTCCTAAAGGTATTTATATTGACAATCTTATGTTTGAAAAGTTTCCTGTTTTGAAATTTTGTTGTCTCATATCTTACTTGGTTGGATATATTTTTCGACGATTTTTGCAGCTTTAATTAAAATTATCTTAGTGTTCTTTTTAAAATTCAATAGAAGATGTTAGATAAATGAATATTATTCCATTGAAATGATAAGTCTCGTATAAAACACTTGCAGAGGTGAAAGACATACAGATGTTATGAGAAGGAATTTTTCTCAAAAATATAAGATGAAATTATTCACTCAAAATTGATAATATGAATGCAATAGAGAAAAAGATATCTTTTGTAGAACTTTAAAAGATCTATGAAAAAAGAAATAGAGGAGGCAGATCAAACAAATTGATTCAGTCATCTATAGATAATCAGATCAAAGTGAAAGTTTTGTAAATCTCCTAACTTTCTTCTTAACTGATGATTTACTTCGAAAATATTCATACCAAATGTTATCAAAATTTGATGCTTTTCTTTAACTAAAAAGTAATTGACTAAAGACAATAGTTCCTTGAAAAGAGCAACAATAATTATATTCGATATGGGAAGAAAAATGCATGCGTAGTCTGTGGAACCATGAGTCTTCTTTAAAAGACAACAGTTGACGAAATTAACTTTATCATTCACTGGACTTATCTCAATGTACGAGGAAACAGAAGTTAAGAAAAAACACGTTTTTTATATGAGCGCATTTTTTATTGATAAATTTACTAGCAATCAAAAAATTTGTGTATAAGTACTACATTGTATGGAAATAACTATTAAGGCTAATGATTAAAATGTTTCTTTGGCTAGTGAATACTTCAGTAGGAATTAACAGACATGTTTTTTTTTGTTTTGTTTTCAATGCATAGTTTTTAAAACAATCAATGACATAACTATTAACTACTTCTAGCAGCGTTCTGCAAGATTTCAGCATCATCATTTTAAAGATCGTGACCTTGCAAAGTTCTCTTTTTCTTTTGAATAACTTTTGAAAAATTTATATTCCAACTGAATTTCGTCGATGGCGAATGCCTGAGAAAGAATGTCTTTGCAAGAGTTCAAGAGCTGACATATTGGAGAAAATCAGGTAATCTTATATTACAATAAAACAGACTTTGCTGACATTAAATGTGTGGCAATAAAATCGGATTATCGAGTTTATGATCCTGATGATTCTTAAAAGTAGATATCAATGACAATTATTAGCTAGAAAAATGTGAATGAGATTGATTGATCTATTCAGAAGAGACAGACAATAAACTGTAACTGTGGAAAAATATTTTCTTAGTCTAGAATATTTTCAACGACTTGCTTGTTGAAACAAAACGCAAACTAAATTGATAATTGTCCCAAAATCAAAAACAAAAAAAGAAACACTTCTCCAGAAGAAAAAGTGAAGAATACAACGAATTCCTAGACAATAGAATGTATGGCTTTGTAGATGAACTGAAAATTCACACCTTATTGTATATATTTCTGTTCAAATTAAATTTTACGAGAAAAAGTTTCTTTATTTTATTTCGTCACATGTATGCAAAGTCTACTGTGTCAACAACAAAAAAAATATTTGAAATAAAGTTAAATAAGTTAGAACGCAAAATTTAAATCATGAAAGTAGATTGTGAGAAAAAGAGTCTTGAAGCTAATCGTCTTTCCTATTCTCAGTAATGAAAATAGAACAGGATTCAACATCATACTATTCATTGAAACAACGACTTCTTCCATAAACATATATTAGTAATTTTGAAAAAATGAATAAATATAGATAAGCATATGAAAAAAAAAATGATTAGCTAAGATATAATCATTTTTGTATAGTTGTGATGTTATATGTGATTATCAAACGATGTTCGATGAAATATTTTGCAAAGCAATCAATTTACATTTATAAACATTTACCAAAAATCCAACAATAAATTTTAAAAAAGTTCAATAAATTTAAAATAGAATCTAAATATGTTTGAAGTATTCTAGAATGTGTTTACAAGCCTTTTAGTATCTTTAGAATGTAACAGGAACATGGTGCGATCATTTTCTTACAGAATATTCTTTAGTGATGATCGAATTTTCGTTATTTATGATTTATTTTTTCTGAAGTCAAGCATTTTGATGATTGTATTGTTGAGTATTAACTTATGCTTTTCATTAAAAAAATTCTCAGAAACTTACAATCTAAAATAATTTTACAGGATAATACCGCGCTTGTCAGGCATCGAACTGAACTCGAACCTGTGAAAGTTGGTTTGATTCCTTTTCTGATAGTTATCGTTAAATACTGTCCATAATAAATTGCTTTTTACATTAAAATATTCAATTTTTTTCTTTATTATGAAATTTTTTTTGTATTGATAATAAAATAATAAAAAATACGAATAATAAATCAAGAAAAAAGAATTGTTATTTGAATAAAAAGAAACAATGGTGTAGTACGAGATTTTTTGAATTTATCATTTTCAATGGACTTTCAGAAAACAGTTCAATAGGATGAAGTATGATAGCTGCTTTTACATATAATCTACTAAACCAAAACGATTCAAAGATTGTAGATGTGGTTAAACAGAATATCAACATCTATACTCACATTCTTCTTGATATTATTAAAAGTACTGGTTATAAATGCAAGTTTTAATCCAGATTTGTGCAACTTTTTCTTAAACTCTAACGACATGGTTTAAAAAAGTCTTCGTTAAAACTTCAATGGTTAAAATATGTTTAATGGATACATGTAATCGACTTCTTTACTAGTTAAATCAATGATTGAAATCATAATAAAACATACGATATGAAATATAAATCAATAAGTCAAACAGAAATTAGAGCACAAAATAAATGACAATCTATTCTGATTGATTTTAGAAAATTTAGACATGATTGTTATAGTAGAGGCCAATTCTAGTAAAAAGAAAAAAGTAGATAAATTAATTCTTGTTGTTATGTTTCCATTTTATGAATTGATATTTTTAGTCTTTATTGAGGATGTGAGTATGGATGACAGAGAGAGAGTATATGATTCATCAACATATCCAAACAACATCTACATCCACACCGTATTTTGAACGTGTTCAAGTAAATCAGCATATAACTTTTCTAGATTCGATTCATTTATGAATGCTTATTCAAATTGACGTCAATGTTCAATATTCGTTAACTAAAATAAATAAAATAGATTTTTTGTTTTTTGTTGATACAATTGATATTTGGAGCTTTTCTTTTATAATATCTGCAGATACTATTTTCGATCAGCAATAAGAAATAAACGATTGTCTGCTTCTTCAAAACGAGCACTGAAACGTGATAACATCAATAAAAACCTTAAAAAGTAAAAGATATACAATATTATCAATGAAAATTCATTTTGACATTTCATGACGAAATTTATTGATTTTGTATTGATCGTCATTCCTTCGGATTGAAATAAAGAGTTTTTGTTTTTCATTACTATTTTACTATTTATCTTTTTCAAATAAATTTTAATCGTATGTGTAAGTCTTGATAATTTTTAAAAAGAAAACTAGGAAGAATATTTAACCATAGGCAGAAAAAAAAATAGTTCATCCAACAGCTCAAATACGACTTCACTCTATTTTACTCATAAGAGGGTGTGGGTGTGGGTATCATTATAGGTCTTGTCTTCACCGACACCCACACCCTGTGATAGTCATGCACTTAACATAAGACAAGTTAACCCCCATATAGCCATACGTATTGATTTTCTTTGTGCAATATTTGTCATTGATAATAAAGTCCATTCATTAACTTTAGATGAATAACGTGCATTAATTAAAGCACGAAAAAAAAACTAATGTGTGCAAGTAATAATGATAAAGGACGTAATAAAAGTAAAGCTTCATGTGGTAATGTTGATGATTGTTTAGTACGTTCATATAACTCTTCAACAAGTTCAATAAGAATATTATCTGATGATGATATTATTGATGAACTATCAATTATTGTTTGTTCTTTATTAACATGTTCATTATTTAATGAATTTGTATTTTTATTTGGTCGTTGTAATAATGTATAAATACGTGAAAGTATTAACACCATATATCATTTTTGGGATATTGACCAACTATTAAAAGTTTTTCAAGACTAATTGATATAATTTTTTGTATTAAATTATCATCTTTAATTAATGATAATCAAATATCATATGAATTTAAATCAACTTCATGAATAAACATGATGCATATGCATGAGTTTTAGTTATTAATTTATAATTACGTTCAATTAAATGTATATATAATTCATTATATTCTTTTGTTCTTTGTTCAAGTAATATACTAGATTTACATAAATTATAACTTATTAAGGGTATTATTAAATCATCTTCATCAAACCATTTACAAATAAATCAGATAGGTATATAATTGAACCTATTAATTAATATTACATATATTTCAATTAGAATTTGTAATGATAATGTTAAATCAAAACCATGATGAAAAACTAAGCAATCAAATAAACTCTAAATTATATATTTTTAAACGTAGATGCCAGCAAAGAAAATGTTCATAATCTAATTTTTTGATTGATAGAATTTATTTGAAATTATTGATATAATCTTTTATCTCTATGAAATAAGATAGTTTGCATATATTATATATCAAATCAAAGTCAGAGAAACACTAGATTTTCTGTTTGATAAAATTAATAATTTAGCAATAAATTTATCTTTCTTTTAACTTAGAGATCTATTTGTCGATTATTAAAACATATGTGAGACTTACATTAACTGATAATGGTAATGTATTATTACTTTGGATTGATGTTAATATAATATTATATGAAAGTTGTCCATAGGATAATAAATAACGTGTACCTAACCGTTCAATATTTGTAAATAAATTATTTGAACTTGTATCTAATATTGATAAAAAAAGAACAGATAAAATCTAGTTTATTTTTCAATCTTGTTACCATTGTGTTGCATTTGTTTCTAAAGTTTCTTCTTTTTTTTTTAAATCATTTGTTGTTTGTTTATTTTCATCATTAGATTGACTTGTGATGAATTAATTGAAGCTAAAAATGAAGCCTATATTTCTTGAAATTGTATTCTTAATAATCAACCAACTCCAAAATTGTCTTTACATAAATATTGGTAAACAAAATAATAATATAACTATACAATATAAATCATGTCAATAAATATATGATATATATATATATTTAATTTTTTTTTTGTTAAATAATAAAGATGATCTTTTATCTGGTTCAATTAAATTAAAATATGATTATAATATATTTGATATAGTTAAACCATGTCGTTGATAAATATATTCAAATATTGATAATAGTATTTTCGATAATGTACAACATGATATTATTTGATCTGTTTCACAACTAAGAAATGATGTTTTCTTTTTTGAAATATATTTATATAAATTATTTCTGATATAAATATTATAAAACGTAATAAATCATGTATATCACCTGTTGAAAATTGACTTGTTAATTCAACATGATTTTGTATTGTATCAAAATATATTGATATAGAATCTATGAATGCAATTGAATATGGTTGATTATTAGAAGCATGATAAAAGACTTTTTTCATAAATTGTATTAGGTATTGTTTCAATATCATTTTAATTTGTTTCATTTGATATAACTATACAAAATCCTAGGAAAACAAACAAAGAACAGATTTATCTTGTTTCTTATTTTCTCAAATCAATTTTCATTTACTATAAGAATCATCCTAAAAATTTAATGCTGTGGAAAAAATCCAATACGTTTTCGGAGTTCACGAGTTCAAACTTATAGAAAGTTTATCGAAATTTTCGAATGCAATTTATTTCGAAATATAATATTAGAAAGATGTCGTTTTCTTTAATTGTAACAGTACAAATAGCACGACTGAGAATTTGATCTATAAGATTCGAGAGGAATTATTCGGTCATTGTACTAATGTAGCTTAAATGCTTTCCTTTACGATTTGTATTATCTGAAATTCTGCATATTTTCTATTTCAAAATATTTTTTGAAATTTTGAATTATTCAAAAGTCTCATCTATTACTAGCACATAAACAATGTCAAAGTAAAAACAAAAACATTTCTTTTAATTGGATTAAAATTTTTATTATACATATATATTTATCTATTTCGATAAATTAAACTAAAATATACCGGTGACATCATAAATGGTAATCATTTTTTTATAAGTTATATTTTTAAGCATTTGTTCATAAATTTTTCTTGTTATATCCATAGGACAATTAAGATTATTAAAATCTTCTTTAATAATATCGTTTGATATTGTTATTGATAATATTTATAAAATCCATGATATATATTTAGGTCATAAGTGTTTATTTAATGTTTGTTAGTCAAGTGTTAACATCATTTCAATACAATCATAAACAATTAATTCAGCTAAACGTAATACAGATATATATATGGTAATGGAAGAAATTGTTCAATTAATAAAACTAATAGAAGACCATTTTCATCTAATTGTATTCCTTCACAAAAAAATAAATGACTTGCAACTGATGTATGATGCATAAGATCAAATAAATTATGTACATATGTATATGTATCACTTTATTCAAATAAAAAATAATAATAATAATTGATAATGTGTTGTTATTGATGTAAAATGTTCAACATATAATTTATGATGATATATTAAATCACAATATGATTGTAATTAACCACTGATAGATAAATGTATTCTTGATGATGATGGTGTTAATATTGGTGACCAGCATGCTTCTTGTGTATAATCAAGCATATTAAGAATATGTATCCATTGTAATAATAATGAGATATAAAATGATGATAATAATTTAGAACGTTCACTTAAACTAGTTAAGTATGAAAATGTATCAAGATTATGTACAGTTTCATCATGAATTCATAATTGATGAAAATCATTTACAATTGTTCGAAATTGTTTAACTAAAATAAAATCATAGATCTTATATAAGCATAGGAATTTTACAGTCAAATGTATTTCGCTAGCTCATTAGTAATTAATGAATTGCAGGAAAATTTTATCTTCAAATTAATGGGTGATATGTACATAAAGATAATCGGATGCAAGAGAAACTAATGTCATATTGATTTGACCACATAATTGTCGAGTATTAGTTAAAATTCATAATATTATGTCATGTAAAACACGAAGAAGAGCTCTGAAAACAAAAACGAGAATAATAGTTTTTAAATTATAAATGAAATCCTTTCGAATACTTACGCACTAAAAGTTTCATTTCGTGTTACATTGACTGATGATAAAACATCATTCTATCGTGTTAATATAGCATCTTCAGTTAAATTTTGTACAAGACATCGAAGTATTATATTTATATTGATTAACTATTGATTTGTAAATTGACAATTGACATTCTAAAAAAAATTTTCAACTACAGGAAAATTTTATAAATAAAAACAACGGACATTTCTATTTACTAATGCTCAAAAAGCAATAACAAATGGATCAATTGATCGTAATTCAACTGATGAGATAACATCAAATAGTGTTAATTGTGCGGAATAAATATCCAAAAGTGATTGATCCTATTTGAACAAAAAAATAACCTGAGATTGTAAATGAGCAAGAAGTAAATCGACAATTTGTCGTGAAAGACGTTTTCATTTATCATCTTCATTTCGAACACTATTAACAATAACTGTTAACAATCGTAAAGCCTATAACAATATAAATTCTATTATTATTTTTTCAGTACATACACATGATATGAAAAGATACTTGTATTTGTAATAATTAAGACGCCTAGTTTTCCGTCAAACTCAGATACATAACAACAAGATGATTATTTTCAGATCATCGATTCGTTGAAGTGTGGGTGTGGGTTCAATCAAGGAGAAAAATTACATATACACACCCACACTCTCTCATTTAATAAAACGTTTTAGGAATTTTAATTATTCGCATAACTCGAACAAGAAAAAAAATCATATAAAACTGGTTCTAATGCTGCCAAAGCTAAATAAAGAATTTTAACGATAATTTCTTTTTCTCGAAAATGTTTTTTTTTTACTTCCTACCATGTGTTTCAGGTTCATGTCCACTTGCTAATAATGAATCATAATGTTTTATTAAATCTTGTATTTTAATAACTTGTTTTGAATGAAGTGTATCATGTGATAACATAACAAGAAATTCAGCAATACAATAAATAAAATGCTATTTGTAAATAAACGAAACGATTAGAAATCAGAGATGTTGGTGACTGACTTTTTTTTGACCCAACCCGCAAACCCGACCCGTTGAGGGTCGAACCCGACCCGCTTGACGGGTTGAACGATTTTTTTTTTGAGCGGGCGGGTTAGTCTACGGGTTGAAGAATTATCAACCCGTCCCGGGCTGCCCGCGGGTTAATGTAACTTTAATCAGTATAATATTTGCAAAAAAATTCATTAGTTTTTTTTAATTGATTCTTTTTTTAGTATGTTTTGAAACTAAAATTTTTATCACTAGGATATTATCTTTTATTCCTGAGCATATACATAAGTATTACAAAATTTCAAGTTAAGTTCAAGAAAATAAATAGTCAAGTGAAAGTAACAGCATATGTTCACGTATACAATGTAAAAAGAAGCGGACGGGAAAAATGTGAAGAAACGAAAAAAATTGATCGATATTATTATTTCTGTAAACAAGCTTAGAAAGAGCAGCGCATTTATATGTGTATATGCTTCAAAACAATTAGGTAAATGAATAGAACGAAGATATAGTGAAAACAAGTAATAGAAAAAATTTAGATATTGAAGAACGAAAGAAATAGTCAGAGCAGCTGAATCAGCGGAGAAAAGAAGAAATGAAACGAATAGTGAACGTAAATCTATGTAAAAAAAAAGAATAAGAAGACGAAAGGAAAATTCGTCAACGGGTTGAAACGGGTTGAACCCGCGAGTTCACATAAAAATATAACCCGACCGGGCAAACCCGTAAATCCTGAAAATATCTAACCCGTTAACCCGTAACCCGTCAGAGGTCTAACCCGCCCGCGGGTTTACGGGTCGGGTCACGGGTCGGGCGGGTTGATGCAAAACGGGATAACCCGTCGACATCTCTGTTAGAAATGCAACGAATTTCATCAGCTTCTAACTAACCATAATTAACACTAATTAAAAGTAATTGAACAAGTAAATCGAGTACAGCAGCTTGACAATCACTTTCATTTGTATATTAATATATTTTTTAAGACTAATTTTTTTTAGTTCAATAAAAACTAAAAAATAGAAAACAAAAAAAAACAGAATAGATCAAATTCGTTTTTTTGTTCATTTTACTGTCGTATTGCACTATTTATACTTGATGCATAACGTGAACCAAATAAAATAAATTATCGATTGTCGAATACTTATTGTATGAATATAAGTTAAAGAATTATTTAATGATACTTGTGAAGAAACATTTGAAGATTTAATAAAAACTAAATTAAAAGAATATTTTTAAATGAATGTTGTGTTAACAGAAAAAATGATTTTCAAATTTCGAATTGATAGCCTTTCTTGCAGATCGCTCACGTAAACTAGATGATTTAATATTCGAATTTCAAGATAGAATCGAATCAAAAGATCTGACACTTTCACAACAAAACTACTCTTGTTAAGATCGCCGATATTCGTAAAATCAGTTTTTCTGTTACTATGACATTCTTATATTGAATTTTTCCTTCTCTAGGAAAGACCCTTTCGGAAACCTTCATTATAAGATTTTCATCTAAAGTTTTATCCATAGACAAGTTTCAGACACAATACGACATCCTAAAGGTTTTAGCTTAAACAATAAATATTTACTATTTAAAAGAAGTTATCTCTTGTGTATATTGAATGTTGATTTAAAATAATTAAGTGTTTCTCTTCCAAGTTTTTTTGATAAATCTTATGTAGAAATAAGACTTAAAACTGATTTCATAGACAATAATGATCATTTCTGACGAACTTAATAAACTTTTATGTATTTGATAAGATGAACGTATTAATTCGAATAATTTCCAAAAGTACCTAATTGTGTATGATTAACTCTTTTAACTTTGTCTGTGTTTGATGTTGTTGATGAATCTTTATCATTCTATTTAAAAAGACAAAAAACAAATGAATTCCTTTAGATAAGACATGATCAAATATATTCTTCAAATCTCAAACTTTGGAACTCTCTTCTTCTGTGAAAACTGAAATATCAACTATATTCTGTCCAAAAGAATGATGATAAAATAGTTCAATTTTTCGAATTACTTGAATCCTTTGTGCTACTTTCAAAACATTTTTTCGTTTGCTGAGATTTGATAAATCTTCAAATAAAAAGAAAGAATTCAAAAAAACATAATAAATATCTTTTTTTTTCTTTACTTGAAAAGATTAAACTATTAAGATCATGTAATATAAAGGGATGTTTAAAAAAAATTATAAATAAACGAAGTTCATCACATTGATTATGAAAAAATTGGTCGAATTGTTGTTGGTCTTAAAACATTTGAAAGAACATAAATATCTTCTAAACATCCAACCTATATAAAAGACAAAAATAACAAATTTGTATTCGAGTTGACGCTTAAACGTGTAATGAATGATGAATTTTATATATCCATTGACATGGTAAAAATGAATTGTGATCAACAAACCTTAAAATCAAAAAGTAGCTAATAACTAACTTAATGTAATAGAATCGACTTATTCATTCAAATTCGAAAAAAAACTACCTAGTTAATATCTCTACAAAATGCATACTTAGCAAAAGTCGAAGCAGTTGCTTGACGAACACGTACATCAGGATATATTGTTTTAATTGTTTTTGTTGTTGTTCAAGATAAGTTAATATTCGAAAATCAATATCATCTATAAATTGAGCTAGACTAACCTATTTTATATACATACAAAAAAAAATTATTATAATCATAAATTTCTTTTATCTACTTTAGCAAGAATACAGGAACTTGTAGTATGTTGAATAGAATCTTCTAATAATTTAATTCCTATGATTGTAAATGCATGACTATTAATTAATAAAAAAAAGGTAATAATGTTCGTAAAGCATTTAGTGAAACATGTATAACACGTGCATTATTATCATTAAGACATATAACCTTGAACTGTCTTGTGAATCAGTTGATATAAGTGAACATTAATTAATAAAAGAATTATTAAATGAATTTGCTAATGATGAGTGTTAAAAGATGAATTGTTATTTGAATTAATGTAACAAGTAAATTTGCACATGCACCACGTAAATGTAGATCACCGCGTTCACATAAAGATATGTAATATCTTAAAGAAAAGAACAAAAAAAGATACCTTGATGTTCGATAAATTTTAATGTATTACAAGTCATATAGAGATGTGAATTTCATTTTTTCCTTTAGAGAATTCCATTTTAATTACAAAATTATATCTAATCAGAAATCTTCAAAGACTAAAGAAAAACTCCTTAGAGGATACAATTGATTTCATATCTCGAACTTCGGCTTAGTACTTTTTTGAGGTAGTTGTGTGATTGTATAATTTCAATCTCTGATGTATAAATACAGCCTCTGAGCTTCAATAAAATGTTCTACTTGACATCTTTTCGAGTCTGATAAGGTTCTAGTCTTTTGTTGGTTTCAAAAAAGTTAAAAGTAGAAATAGAACTAGAGCTGCTGAATCAATATTCAGAAATCTCCGTTCTTGAATTTTCAGATTCCAATATATATATATATGTTTCAACAATTTAATAGTGAAATTGTCATATCTATCAGATAACTTTCACTAAAACTTTGAGACCTTAACCAATTGAAGCCACGTCAACTAGACTCTGCCACAATCCCCTTCACCTAAGCCCTTCTACTGTTACAACATTAGAAATAACTTTGGATTATAAAATAGATCTATTTCACTGAAGTGAAACTTTACAAAAAAAAGTCAAACAAGAATTAAACATACTTTCAGTAAGATAAACAAATGGATCAAATTGTTTTATAAATACGATAGACATATTGGTATAGCACATTTAACACTAATACATGATTCATCATCACTTTTTATCGTACCATCCATATTAAGTATATATCTAATCGGAAAGAAAATATAATTGATTAACAATTTTAGCAGCTGATATTCATTTTTCATTATTAATCATTGATGTTGAATCGAGTTCATCATTCATTTCAATAAATCAACGTTGACATGTTGAATAAGCTATTGTTTTAGAAAAAAAAATTCTTGTTTTTTTTCTCAATATTTACCTGTTTTTAAGGCTTCACTAACACGAATTTCTTCTATAGAACCAATTTGGGTTGAAATTAAGAATTCATCTAAATCAAATAAATTTGAATAACTAAGTAATTGAATAAGATTTTTTATTAAACTAAGATAATCAATTATTAAACGTGTACTAGCATTTTGATTTTGATGTTCAAATAAGTGATCTATTAAAATAAAAGACAATCATAATGAATTGAAATTATTATTTGAAAGAAAACTTACTAATTGCATTTGTCATTAGAAAACGTGTCATAACCATGGGATAACATATTTGCCGAATAGGGCATGAGATGTTTCTAAGAATAATTTAGTTATTGATTATATATTTCAAAAGAAAATTATTTATTGTTAATAATAGGAAAAGAAAAATTCATTTTCACTCGACTTCATACTTTAACTATCACGATAGCCAGTGAACTCCTATGACTAAACCATTCGTAAGTTGCATGAAATTACGCTCGATTACTTTCGAGGGCGGATCGCTTCAAATGATTGACAGTTTCTCAGACCGTATTTCGTCAAATAGTATCAGACCACCTATTCTACATTTTCTGAAAAACATCCTCTCATGCTAGAAATTTTAACCGAAACATGGTAGAGCAATTCTTTTCTATGTTTCTATTCAACCGTATGACATTTTTCTGATTACTTCTTTAAAAAACTTGTCTTAAATGACAAAGATTTTTGTTTTAATTACTTTAATTTCTTTATCATTAATCGGTCGACCAAGACTACGAAAAATAAGTTCATAATATTCTGATAAAATGGTTGAATCTTTTTCGGATGTATTACATTTGCGAATTCAGCAAATCACCACAGAACACCTAATCGAAATTAAAAAAAAAATCCTTATTATAAATTTAAGTTAAATATTAGAAATAACCTTTTAAAGCATTTGGTCCAACATTAGGATTATGTTTTATAATTCAATGTAATTCAACTTGAATTCTTGTTAAAACTGCTTCTTTTAAATTCTATTTTATAATTCATACAAAATTATACAGAAAAAAAAATTTCTTTTATAATACTTTAACAAATTTATTAAGACTTTCTTCGGCAGTGAATCGTACATTATAATCATTTTCGTCACATGTTGTAAATAATGTTTCCACGTTAGCTTTAATTAATTTAAAATAATTTCCTTGTTACCTCTAGATGAGAAAAACATTCTATAAGAGATATAAACAAAATGAAAAACAGAAAAAGATCCAATTATTTACTTGATTATTAATATTTTTGATGATGTTGTTGAAAGTAATTTTAAAAATTCAAGTGATATATTTAGTTTATCCATGTTGTTTAATTTATATTCAATTCATTTATTTTAAACACCACATTATTTGATAATCATAACGAATGAATGAATAGTCAACTGAAAAAGCCTAACATCGATTGAATATTCGTAAACACCATTAACATTTCTGTTTTTTTCCATTAATACATGGCGCTAGATTACACCTCTATAAAATAAGACTGTATAAAGTGAAAACCTCATCATCAACCAAAATTCTTATAACTAAAATATAGTCTTTGTTACACGTTCAATAGGGATATGGTTCGATCTTGTAAATACTTAAAGTAAATCTAAAGACATTATTTTGCGCTGGTGTGGGCGGATGTGGGTCCAAGTACTTCATTTATTGACATCCTCCCATATAGAGCCACGCTCTCTGCCATAATCACCGTCATGGCTTGGTTTAATATTTTATTTCTTACATTTTTGTCTCATTTTTTTTTGTCTTATTATTGTATATTATTAATAAGAAAAGTATCTGATGAAAAATAAAATAATGACGTATGATGTCTTTATTTATTTAATGAAAACGAAAATTTTTTTTCTTTCTATGGCGTAACGTTTGTTACTATGACAGACATATTTCTTTTTTTTTCGGTAGTGAAAATTCTATTCAGATTGGCGTACTTGTTCAGAAGTAAATAATAATGAACACTTTTGTACATATTTGGCCAAAATCTGTAATGATTCTCATAGTTATGATGTATTTATTCTCTACTCAATGGTGTTGATGAAAGTCGACAAACAAATGCATAAAGAGATTAATAATAATGATAATATTACAAGTAAAAAAACAAAAATATTTCCTCTTTGCTTATTTTGCTTTTTTTAATCATAACTTATCATATTATTCCAAAATTAATTCTTTAACGAATGAAAAATTCTAATAAAGAATCTATTGACATATCGGAATATTTAATTGAAAGTATATCGACAGTGTCATAAATTAAATTCATCGAATATGATCTCAAATGACTTATATGATATTAAATGTTGCTGTTATTCAGTCATATCGTAATTAGATTTCCTCGTTCATCTCTACATCATAATAATATATTTAGAAAAATTTAAGTAGGAAAAAACGCAATCCAATTCTTCAATCTGTATTGAATCGATTTGAAAAAGATTTGATGTGGAAATCAACTAAAAACTCATTGTAACCTCATGCTTTCAAAAATATAAAACTAATATATATATATATGTATACTTGTCTTTAATTTTTCTAGAATTGATTTATACCTGTGTACTTTGGGTGTGGGTGTGCCTATGGCTGTGGTTTCTTCTTCTTCAATCAACCACACTCCATCTTATGAGATTTTTTTATTTGAACTATTGAATATCTAATGAAGTTCATGATTATTTTACTCATGAGGAAAGTTCTAATAGCAAAAAAATTGATTTTTGAACTTTGACTTGACGTCTTACCGTAGAGACAGATTTTAGCAAGAGTCATTTATCATCAAAATTTCAAGAACGAGCATCAGATCTATCAATTTGTACAAATGATGTAAAAGCCAAACTATTACTATACCTACATCTCATAAGAGAAAATTAGCAACAAATTTTGAAACATTAGCAAAAAACCTATTTCAGAAAACGAAACTCACAGTATGCACATTACAGAATGCTATTAGTCATGAATGAAAATCGATTCATCAGTTCAAAGATTTCAAAAATATCTAAAGCACAGAAATTTTATCTTGAGATACGTTTCACGGACATATATGATCTACGGATCAAATTAATAACACAATAAAGAAATTTTTTTTGGGAATGGTACAAAAGTCGAAGTCAATATTTTGTTTATTAAATACATGGAAGAAATATTAACTTACTTCTAATAGAATATTATAAATCAATGAATATAAATTAATCGTTGATTTGCCTTTTTTTTATCGATAATATGTACATTAAGAGAAAAAAAAAGAAATGTAAAAATGACCATATATTTCATTTAAAGTGTTGTATGTCAAATTAGAATCCAAACAAACAGACACTAGTTAAACAAAAGAAGGGATATAAGAATAACAATATTTATATAGATGTATCTTTATATTTTACTCATGTAAATCTAGTGTCCCTGTGTATATTTTGAATTTTACTCGCAATCGTTGTATGTATTGTAGGTATATAGTTTTGTTGTTTTCGTGTCGTAGTATATTATAACATATGAGCAACCATCTTAATGCTATAAATGCTTTATCATATATAATTAAATATTATTAGAAGCAAATTATGTCTTTTAATTCATTTCTCCTCTCATAAATAAAATACATTTGTTCTTAGTAAAAATCTGTTAGAATAATATCTATTGAATATGAAGTGTGATTATGAAGGACAAACAGACTCAAACTCATGCTCACATCTACACGTGGCATTATTTCGATACTCATTCTTCCTATCTATGTTGGAAAAAACCTGGGCAACAATGCAAATAACATTGATTCATTTTATTATATTTTTATTTTGCTTCTTCTCTGATTTGTTGAGATGATGATGCAAACTTCAAAAGAAAACATGATGACTTGAGTATAACAACTAAATCAACAACTAAATGAACTCATGTTGTATTTTGAAAACAAGATATTTTAGTCATGGAAAATAATTATGTTTTCAACATTTTTACTCTAACTACACAAATGAATTCTTTTTTTTTTCGTTCTTTTTTTCTTTTTTTGATAAGACACTTATTTTATTGATTTAAGATGTGTTGCATATAGAAACTTAGATAAAATAAGAGAATTTTCTAATGATTCCAGACAGGAGTAAAGAAAAAGAAAAACAATGAAAACAAAAAATATAGCGACTTATTTTGAAATTCTATTTGTAACTTTTTGTTTTTTCTTTCCTACAAATCATGCGCAATTGATCGATAATACAATTATTCAGTTATTGGTGACACATGTTTCGTCACTGTCGTTTTGTCAATAAAAAAACTCTTGAAATAAAAAGAAAACGAACGAACAAACAAAAAATTGAGCAAAGAAATCCTTCAAGTCTTCTATAGCAACAAACCAAAAAATAAAAAGTGTCAACACGAAAAAAGAAAAAAAAACTATTGAAAAAAATCATTTACGAAAAACACAACGTCATTATTATCATCCAAATCATCCAAATGGACAAAAAGCAACATTCAAAATCAACTGCTAGTGGATCATCTTCTCCTTCCACAATAAATAAACCAAAAGAATCATTATCAACAACAGCAGCAGCATCACTACCAACAACAACGACAAGTAGAAATGCAGTACTTCCTCAAACTGCTCGTCGGATTCTTCAAAATTTCCTTTTGGTATGGCTCGATGCCAATTTGCAAGAATCAGACAAGGATTTTAAAAAGTCATTGCAACATCTTCGAAAAATTGTGGCATCCATCACAACGTTTACGGATGCCCAACAATGCGTTAATTTCCTAAGTGAAATCAAAAAAGAAAAGGTATTTATGATCGTATCAGGTTCCTTGGGTCGTCAAATAGTACCAGAAATCGAAGCATTGCCACAACTGGAAGCAATTTATGTGTTTTGTGGTAACCAATCGGTTCATGAACAATGGGCAAAAAAATCAAGCAAGGTTAAGGGTGTATACACAAAAATAGAACCAATTTGTCAAGCACTTGAAATTGATCGACAACGATGTGATCAAGCTATGATCCCGGTCAGCTTTAATGGTCGTGATGCATTATTTATGTATACACAACTTTTAAAAGAAGCCCTTTTGGAAATTGAAGATGACGATGTCAAATCGATTAAAGATCTCGTAGAGTACTGTCGTCTACAAGATGATATTGATGAAGGTCAAATTAGGAAGGTCGAAAATGAATATCGTAATCATACACCAATATGGTGGTATACGGCAGAGACATTTATTTATCCAATGCTCAATCGTGGCCTTCGACAAATGGATGTCGATATTATTCTGAAGATGGGTTTCTTCATCCGTCATTTACATCAACATATTATCGAACTACATCGCGAACAAAAAGCCAGCATGCCAGCAAATTTTCAAGTCTTTCATGGAAAAGGTTTGTCCCTGGAAGATTTTGAAAAAATGAAACAAACCAAAGGAGGACTTATGTCCTTTAATAATTTCTTATTGACAAGTCGTAATCGTGAGATATCTTTCAACAACTTTGCACGACCAGCAGCGTTAAATACAAATTCAGTTGGCATCCTTTTCATTATGAACATTGACACAGCTATTTGCACGAAATCCTCAACACCATTTGCTGAAGTAAGCAAAGTTGGCTACTACAAAGATAAAGAGGAAAAAATACTTTTTACAACACATACAATTTTTCGTATCGAGCACATTGAACGAATTCCCGATAATCACTGTGATCGGCTATACGAAGTCACTCTCACTATTGTCGGTAATGACAATCATGAATTGAACATACTTACTGCACACATACGTAAGGATCTTGGTGATCGCACAGGGTGGTCTCGACTTGGGTACACACTTATTAAATTGGGCGAACCTACAAAAGCAGAACAACTATATCAAATTCTCCTTGCAAAGGCATCTTCTCATAAAGATCGAGCGGAATACAATCATCAACTTGGCGGAGTGTATAAAGACATGGGTGAATACTCTAAAGCACTTTTCTATTACGAAAAATCACTTGATATCGACAAGAAAATTCTCTCTCCAAATGATCCCAATTTGGCTTCTTCCTACAACAACATCGGGTTGGTGCATTATAACATGGGCGAGTACTCGAAAGCTCTTTCATCGTATGAACGATCACTTGAAATCCGTAAAATAGCTCTCCCTCCGAATCATCCCGACTTGGCTGCTTCCTACAACAACATCGGGTTGGTGTATGATGAAATGGGCGAGTACTCGAAAGCACTTTCATCGTATGAACAATCACTTAAAATCAAGAAAATAGCTCTCCCTCCGAATCATCCCGACTTGGCGTACTCATACAACGGTATTGGTTCGGTGTACGATCAGATGCGAGAGTATTCGAAAGCACTTTCACATTACGAAAAAGCTC